AGTGGCCTTGCTGCATTCCGATATTTGTTTAGAGCTGTGCCGTGAGAAATTCAGATTCTTCGAGGTAAACTGTGAGCCAAGCATGACCAACACTAAATAATCAAATCCTCTGAGAAAGATTCTTCAGTGCTGCTGGTAAAAATCTGGCATGAAAGCAGCAGGTGTCAAGGATGGAGAAATCCTATTTCAAAGCTGCCTGGACTCTCCTCACTTTCAATCTATTGATAGGCCATCAGCAAATCTCACACAGCGAAGAGAATCTCATCATCTTCAAATCAAGAGATTTAACGAGCACAAACCACCTGTGGGTGGGGAGGGGTAAAAAGATGACTAAGAACCCTCGCCCTTAAGGTGTTTAAAATTCAGTTAGGATTTTTGTATCTAAAAAGTTAACAAACATTTTAAAGTCTTTAATTAACAAAGACAACAGAAGAGAGGTCAATGGGGCAGCATGTGATTAACTGTTAAAACAAACGTTCAGGCCTTGTCATCGTGGTGCAAGGTGGGCTGGCAGCCCAGCCGGGCGGGACCGGAGTTGGGCATAGCAGAGCGAGGTGGGCCGGGAGGTGGTGGAGAGGATAAACATCTGGGGCAGGCTTCGGGCACAACCAACAGGTCAGTGGAGGGCTACCTGTGTGGTTATGGGGGATGGCTGGTGGGAGGGCAGGGGTCAGGCTGCGCTGAAGACAAAAGCGTATGAGGTGTGTGAGTTTACAGGCAGGCAGGAGGGGCTGTGATGCTCCCTAGCCCTTAACCAGGATGAGAGTGGTGGGATGACCCCACTCACCACTAGCAAGCCAGACACCTGCAAGTCACCCTTATCGTCCTCCTGCTCCTCCACCCTGTATGCTTTTTCTAGAGAGCAGGGCAGAAGAATGGATACCTCTCTCTAGGGATGGTGGGCTCCTTGCAAGACCAATTACTCAGAACAAAGATGAAGGCCTGTTGCCTACAGCGGCACCTCTTCCAAGAAGCCACCTCTGACATCTCAAAGCTGGGTCACACGCCCAAGCTATATGTTCCTAATAGCAGCCTGTTCTCCTCCCTGCCCCCACCCATCATGACTCTCATAGACCTTTCCTGTAATTATGTGCATAAATGTCTGCATTGCCCATGGATTGTAAGTTCCATGTGGGCAGGGAAGCACTCAAAGACCTGGTTACATAAATGAACAGATGATGGAGGAAGGGAGAGATGGATGTATGAACCAATTACTGAACAGCCAAAGGGCAGCCGCCTACAGGGTCCCTGTGATGCACAAATCCAGGGGACATCGTTCCCACTGTGCTCTACGTAGAGAGGGACTCCTGCGGCACCACTGCTGAGCCAGGGCAGGGAAAGCAGTTGGTTAGAGGGAGAAGCTGGCCTGCTGGCATTGGCTTGGGAAAGCAGGCAGAACTCTCGTTGTGTCCATCCCATCTCCAAGCTTCAGCTGGAGAAGTCTCAGGGAAGGGGAGATCAGAAGAGACTGCAGCAGATTATCCCTCACCTCCCTCCCACCACACCCAATGAGATGCACCAAGTGAAGCCTAAATCCCCACACAAACCAAAGTCACAGTGGACCGCAGAATTTAGGAGGAAGACGTGTGTCCCACAGGCCCACTCTCCTTCTTCAGACACCTGCTCAGGCTCATCTTCTCTGGATGCTACCCAATGCCCCAGGGGGGACTGGTATACATGTCCCCCATGTCACCACCACTGCCATCAGCACAAGAGCATGCCCTGCTGGCACAGACAGCCATCTAAGCACCAGCAGGATTGCACAACCTCCCTAATGCCAGGAAATCTCTCACCCTGGGTCAAACAGCATCCTCCTGGCACAATTCCGCCCGTGCCAGACTGACACTCAGCCAGCCTGTATTCCATGGGCCAGGGGACAGCAGTCAAGCTATCATGTCATGGGCTGGAAGTGTTCTTTTCAGAGTGGCTCCTCAAGGGCTTCCCATGCAAATCAGTTCCCTGGTACTTTTGAAGGCCTGACGTCCACTTGGGGCTTATCTGGCCCAAGGAACCCTCCAGCTGCCTCAGCCCACTGGCCTAGACTGATGCTGCCACTATGCCACACACTGGAAGCAAGCGAAGACCACATCCTTCCAGCCCTTTCCCCTGGCCCCTCTCTGGGGCACTCAGCTCATACAGCCAAGCCCATGCTGCTCTAGAAAGTTCTGCCGAACTCAGCTGGCACAAGTCCCCGATGTACTAAAGGTGAGGGACCTCTAAGGTCACACAGTGAGTGAAAGCCAGGGTGCGGGTGACGGTCAGATGGCAGGAGGTTCCCTCCACCTCACAGGCTACAGAGGATGCTGGCACAAAGGACCAATACACACAAAGCTGAGGGTAGGCAGGATGATTTTTGAGTGCAGAAGGAAGAAGTAGCTGCAATGGAGATCCCCCATCCCACTAGGCTCAAGGTGGGCATGTCCCCTACCTAACCCAGGACCCAAAAAGCTCTGTAAAACCTAAGGTAAACAACCCATTAACGGCACAAACAGTAGGAGGTTTTTCAGGGCCCTGGGGCTCCCTGCCAGAAGGGACCAAGGTGGCCAGTAGCCAGTCTGACTGTTGGTGGTGCCTCTTGTCCCCAGTGACCGTGTTCCAAGGGCCCATAAACCCTGCCCCCAACCAATTAGCCCAGCATTCCCACCAGGTCATCCAAGCCAGCCACAGCCTGTCCGGACAGTGGAACCTTCCACCTTCTCTCGGGAAGGCTCCCCAATTCTTGGCTTTCCCAATTCAAGGTCATCCTATTTCTCAATGACATGCTAGTGAAAAATAGTGCATTGGGAATAGGACACATGGGTTCCAGCCCCAGAACTGTTAACAACCCACAGTGAGAATCTAGGCAGGCCCGCACCCCTCCCTGGGGCTCAGGCTTCCCATCTACACATGTGGTGGAGGTAGCGGGCTCCACTGCTTAGGTCTTTGGCTTTCATTTTTGTGATTTTAAGTGCAAAGGGGGTTTACAGGGCTTAGCAGGGGCCTCAGCCCAACAGGGGTTCTGAGGGAACCCAGAGTTTTCATTCAAACTGACCAGAAACATTTTCCTCATCCAACTCCTGGTCCTTTGCTGAACCTTGTTCAGACTTGGAACAAACGTTTCTTGAGAGGCACTAGGAAAACATGAAGGAGTAAGAGAACTGCGCTCAAGCAACCATTTTACAAAGAGAGAAACTGAGGCACAAAGAGGTCTCCAAATTTGCTCACAGTGACACAGCTAGAAATTCAACCTCCAGGATGACTAATCAGGACAGAATTCTCTCCCAGGGCTCCAGGCCCAGTAAGTCTTGCAAGTACTGGGTCTGGAGGTGAAGAGGAGCCTAGTGGTGTAGTGGTTAAGAGTGTGGCTGCTAACCAAAAGGCTGTCAGTTCAAATCCACCAGTGGCTCCTTGGAAACTCTATGGGGCAGTTCTGTCCTGTCCTATAGAGTCACCATGACTCAGAATCGACTCAAACGTAACGAGGTTGGTTTTTTATTTATTTATTTTGGAGGTGAAGAAGACCACTGAAATCCCTTCTGGGCACAGGGAAGAGCCCGCTCTATGAAAGTGGGATCTATGAAGACCAGAAACTCAGAGTTCAAGACACAGGACTGGCTAAGGTGACCTTGTTCTGAAATACCTGGCTCCTGGTATACCTTCTAACACCCTTCTCAGGCCCAAGCATTGAGCAGACAGGAGATGGCCAGGTGGCAACCTCCACAATGCACCAGGTACACACAGCTCAGTAGCACTGTTCCCTGAGCCCACTAGGTCCTTCCAAAGTTGCCCTTCTCTTGGTCCCTTGTACAGACACGCAACAAACCAGGTTAACTGTAGAGCTAGAGCTGGGGGTTCTGCCCTCCAGGGACCGCCTCCTCCGGGGCTAGTCAGGTCCCAGCTTGTCTCCCTGCAGCCCCAGGTGACAGGCTTCTGGAAGGATGCTCTGGGAGCCACTCCTTCCTACAGGTGTCAACGGGGCCCATGATTTTCAATCTGGTCTTCCCACCTTCGGACCAACCTGGGTTTCAGAGAAGCTTATCCTGGGGAGGCTGCTGGGCAGCAGGCAAGCAGTTTGTTCCCTGTCCCTCTCCCCACCACTCCCCCTGGCTCTGGATGGCTGCCACGCTGACCTCCCCTCCCCCAAGAAGGGCGATGAGCTGGGAGGTGGGGGTGGGAAGAATCCACTGATCATCTCCGGAGGGGTGCTGGGAAGCCAAGCAGGGCGTGTCCTGGGCCTTTCTCTGCCCAGCACCAGGCTTCACAGCCTCTCCGTGTGAGGCGCCCCTGCACCATCCCCCAAATTTGCCTCCCGTTGGGAACCCTCGTTTCTATCGCCCAGACCCCTGAGCCCAAAAGAGGCTAACACACGGCGGTGAAGGGCTGCGGGTCTAGAACCTTCTGTGCCCAGTCGGACGTAAGTCTGGGGAGGTAGGCGCCCTCTTTCCACAGGAGGCAGGTATCCGCCTTTCCTCTCCCCACCCCCTGCGGCCGTCTGGCCTCAGGGCCCGGCAGTGCCCTAACGCAGGCTCCAGGCAGGGTCCGCAGGGAACCCCTCCTGCGCAGCCACGTAGGGGGCGGCCAGACCCCGGCCCCGCCCCGTTCTCCGAAGAGGGGCGCGGGTCTCCCTGTATCCCCGCCCGCGCCCCGCCACCTGCGCTGTCGCCCGCAGCCGGTGCCGCAGTGCGAGCGAGCCAGCGAACCCGGCGCATTCACGCTTTGGCCGGGGCCTCCGAGCGAGCCGCCGCCCTCTGGCCTCCCCGCTGCGCCGCACCTGCACTCACACCCCGCCGCGCGCCCTCAGCCCCCCACTCCAGATCCCACCCTCATCCCCACCTCCACTGCCCTAGTGCATCCTCCTCCGTCCTCATCCTTGGCCCTTCCCCAGCCCGGCCCCGCCCGAGCCGGCCCCGACCTCCCCATCCCCATCCCTCTCCCCCGCCGGGGCCGGGGGTCCCCAAGGGGTGGATGATTTGGCAGGGGTCGAGTGGGCGCCAAGCCAAGAGAATAAGCTGGGTACTTACCGCTCTGCTCCCCCAGGAACACCAACTTGAATTTTCTCAGTGGGTTCCCGAAATCTCCCCCTGCGGACATGATGCTGGCAGCCGGGGCTGGGCGAGGAGGAGGAGGAAGCGAAGAAGCAGGGAGGAGAGGAGGAGGGCGAGGGGAGGCGGCCGGCGGTGCGGGAGCCGGAGGGGGAAGGGCTGGCTGCGCGTGTCCCTGACTCCCCAGCTGCGTCCCGGCCCCGGCCTGCGGCTGCGTGTCCGGCTGCAGCTGCGGCGGCGGCGGCAGAGAAGGAAGAGGAGGAGGGAAGCTAGGGCTGGGCTGCCGAAGACCGCGCTCGCTGCGGTGCGAGGGGCGTGCAGTGGACGCCCGAGGCGCAGCGCCGGCAACGGGGTGCGGGCGGAGCGGAGCAGCGCTCTCCCGAGCCGCGCGAGTCTGCCCTCCTCCCGCCTCCCTACGCCGGCGCCTGCGCTCTGCGAGCTCCCCAGCCTCTGATGTCATGCGGGGCCCGCTGCGCTGCGGGACTGGGGGGCGTCCGCCTGCCCACCCGAAGCCGGCAGCCTGGCAGGAGAGAGCCTCCTCGTCGCGCCTGCGAGAGGCCCTCGGATCGGACCGTCTCTCGCTGTCTTTACGTCTGTCTTCTCCATTCTACTCCTTTTTTGAACCCAGAAAAAATGACATGAAATTGTCAGGGGACATATGTTTCTGGTCTTTTAAACCGAGATATCATTCCCCTCCTCCACCTCCCGAGACACCGAAGCAAGGCGCAACCGTCCGAAAGGGTGGAAAGGAAAGGAGGTGGCGTGAGAGCCAGGATGTGGTAGGGCGTCTGAAGTGGGAAGACATCTGGTAGCTGGTTCAGACGGGGCTCGACTGTTGCCCCATGTGGCCTCTAGCCCGTCCTGCCTGTCTAGGCCCAGACCCTTCATTGGGTGGCCTCTGTGGCGTCCATAGGTGTCCCTGCAGATCTGGACAGCAAAAGAAGAGGCGCTAATATAGGGCGTGCCTACCTCAAACTAACCGCTTGTAGGAATAATTTTATCCTAAATCCTAACTCCTGCCCCACCGAAGAGAGCGAGTAATGACGCCCCGAATGACAGCATGGCCATGTCCAGGAAAGTGGTCTGGATTTTTTGATCCTGGGGTCACCAGGCTGGCAATGCCACTCCTGCCCTGGCAATTATGTGTATCGGGGCAACGAGCTCCCGGAGGACAAGACGGCGACCTCCTAGTTGCCTCTATATCCGTTTGGCCGATCGCAGGCACACGGAATGGGTGTGAATGGGTGAAAAAGGTTAGATGCCAAGAGTTAGAAGCGCTCCTATGACAGGCTGATCACAAGGCATTCTGGTTAATTGAGGTTTCACAAAACCGTCTCTTACCGTCCTGCCACCTTGCAGTCTCGTTTATTTATGACTGTTCAGTGAGTATTTATTTGGGATTATAATTCAGATGTCTGGGAACAAGTTGTTTGTGTGTATGTGTGTGTAGGAAGAGAGAGATAGGAATTGAGATTGAAGTGAGAAGCAACCTTTCACCTCTGGAGGGGACGTTTGATTTACAGGGCTTGCTTGGGATTATCTCCCTGTTTTGTTCACCTAGAGTCTCTCTTTCATTGCTTATTAAAAAGCTGGATGGCAAGTTCCACAAAAGCAGTGGTTGAGGCTCCAGTACTAGATCCCAAGGATCTAGCTTAGATCTTGCACACAGTAAGAGCCTAATAAATAGTTGTTAAATGTCTGGCAGAATGTCTAGAACCCAAATCAGAACAACTGTTCTATTTCTCATAGTCAACTTTCTTTGGTTTGGAGCCCCAGGGGTTGTAGGTCAGTCATCACCCTAGGTTATCTGCCCCACTGTGCCTGGCATCGAGCCCTGGTGGCACAGTGGTTAAGAGCTTGGTTGCTAACCAAAAGGTCAGCAGTTCAAATCCACCAGCTGCTCCTTGGAAACCATCTGGGGCAGTTCTACTCTGTCCTATAGGGCTGCTATGAGTTGGAATTGACTCAACTGCAACGAGTTTCATTTTTCAGTTATGGTGCCTGGCAGCAAGCTCAGGGTAACCATCCAAACTCCCACCCACCTCTCCTCTGCGGTTCTTGCTGTTTCAGGAGATCATGTCCAGCATGAGGCTGAAGGAAGCTCTAGAAGGAGATCAGACTCCCAAGTCACAGTCTTTCCTACCTCTGTGAGTGGTACCTCCACAGAAGAGCCAAGGGAGTTACTGGTCAAGTCAGTCAACCAGGCACACTCCTCCAACATGCACCTTCTCCTAACATCGGGGCTGTCTTCTTGTACCCTCTCATCCTGTCCTGAGGAAATCATCTGTAGTAAGACAAGGCAGCTGAGGTGATTCCATGCACAACGGAACGAAATGCTGCCCGGGGTCCTCATGATCAGTTGTGGACTGGACCATTGTGATCCATAGGGTTTTCATTGGCTGATTTTTAGAAGTAGATTGCCTAGTCTGTTTTAGCCTAGAAGCTCTGCTGAAACCTGTTCAGCATCATAGCAACATGTGAGCCTCCACTGACAGACAGGAGGTGGCTGAGCATACGGTGCGCTGGCCAGGAATTGAGCCTGGGTCTCCCATATAGAAGGCAAGAACTCTACCACTAAACCAAGCACTGCCCCGCATCAAGACAAGGCTGCTGAGGAGTGAAGGAGCACTGTCTTTTAGGTAAGCTTAGGCAAGTCTTATACCTTCTCTGATCATCTAGTCCTTCACGTGCAAGGTGGTGTGGCAGTAGGTGAGAGAGGGGAGGGGTACCGGCCTCTCTGGGCACCTCTAGGCCAGAGTTAGCCCCTGTACTTCTCAGATCCAGCTGGCCTGACCATGGGCCAGGATGCATGGTGGGAATCTGTTAGTCATGATTCTTCCAATTCAATGACAAAAACCCAACTCCAAATACTGTAAGCATAGCAGCATGGGCTGGCTCATGTGGCTGGAGCAGATACCGGTGTTGCTCATGGGCATTGTGCTGTGGGAATCAGAGCCTCAGGAACTCCAAGTCTGCTCTGCCCTCCCTTTCCTTCCCCTCTCTCCTTCTCCATCTTTTATCACTGTTTTGTCTTTTTTTATTTTGGGTCTTGTCTTTAACCTGCCCTAGAGCAGACGGGCCTTCTCTAGGCAGCAGAAAATGTGACTACTCTGACACTCAGCTTGACAACCCCACTGGAGAAAATTCCTTCCACTTAGCATCTTTATGTTCCATTTTTTAAATTATGCAAAGCTTCCTATTAAGAGTGTGTACGATTTATATGTAAGTAATTAAAAAAAAAAAAAGCCTATCAATAACAATGTCCAGCTGGAGAAGTTCAACAGCTACAATATTTTTGAGGCCTCCTTGGATTTCCCTCTACTACACCCCTTTCCTTTCTTCCCCCAGGCAGAAATGCAGAACCCTGGCTTTTCTTGGAGTTTGATCACATTTGGATGTGTCCTTCAACAATACCTTGTTTTGTTTTGCTTGTTTTGCATCTTTTGGACTTTATATAAGGTATCAAGGAGCCCTAGTGGTGCAGTGGTTACAGGCTGGCAGTTCGAATCCACCAGCCGCTCCACGGAAATCCTATGGGGCAGTTCTACTCTGTCATACAGGATCACTTGGAATCAACTCGACGGCAACTTTTTTTAAAATAAGGTATCAAACTGTATATTTTCTCTTACGACTTGCTTTTTTTCTTAACATTATATTCCTGAGCATTACCTGTTAATGCATATAGTAGAAGTTCTTTCACTTTCACTGCTGTTTAGTCTTCCACAGTATGCCCCAACTTACTTAGTTATTTTCAGTAGATTATGTCCAGTTTTAAAATTTTGAAATAATTTCAAACACACATGGAGGTTGCAAAAATAGTATGAAGAGATCCAGTGTATCCTCACCCAGTTGCCACCAGTAATAACATCTTACATAACCATAGTACATTAGCAAAACCAGGGAATTCACATTAAAAATGCCTCCGGTTTTCTCTCTGCTATTACAAACAATGCTGTTACTCGTAAAAGCATTGTTTACATGTTCCCTGATGCACCTGTGAAAAGTTTTTCTAAGCTATGTATCAAGTAGATAAGTCATGGGGTAGAACCAAGTGTATGTTTAATTTTGCTAGGGAAATGCCAAACTGTTTTCCAAAGATGTTTGTCGGGTCCTATAGCTCTACATCCTCACCAGCATTTGGTGTTTTCACTATTCTTATTTGTTAGCCATTCTGATAGATTTGTAGTGATATCTCATTGTGGTTTGAATTTGCATTCCTCTAATGGCTACTGAGGAGCCCTGGTGGTACAGTGGTTAAGAGCTCAGCAGCTAACCAAAAGGTTGGCAGTGCTACTCAATATGTTGCTATGAGTCGGAATCGACTCGACGGCAATGGGTTTGGTTTGGTTTTTAAAGGCTAATGATAATGTCTTTATATCTGCTTATTTGCAATTTGTATATCCTCTTTGGTGAAATGTCATTTGCCCATTTTCTAATTGGATTGCTTTTTTTATTGTTGAGTTTTGATAATTCTTTATGTATTCTAGATACCAGTCCTTTGTCTGATGTGTAGTCGGCAAACACTTTTTCCCACTCTGTAGCTTGGTTTTTCATCTTCTTATCAGTCTTTTGCAGTGCAAAAGTTTTTAATTTTGATGAAGTCCTATTCGCTGATTTTTTTTCTTTTATGAATTGTGCTTTTGGTGTCATGTCTAAGAATTCTTAACAAAGCCCTAGGTCCTGAGGATTTTTTTCTAAAAGTTTTTATATTTTTGTATTTTACATTTAGGTCCATGATTCATTTTAAGTTGAGGTTTTTTGTTTTGCCTATGGATGTGCAGTTGCTTTGGCACCATTTATTGAAAAGGCTATTTTTCCTCCATTAAACCGCCTTTGCACATTGGTCAAAAATCAGTTGGGCATATTTGTGTGGGTCTAATTCTGGTTTCTCTGTTCTCTTCCACTGGTCTGTGTGTCTGTTGCTCCACCAATACCACAGTCTTGATTTCTGTAGCTATATAAATCTTGAAAGCAGGTAGACTGATTCCTTCCACTTTGTTCTTCTTTTTCAAAATTGTTTTAGCTATTCTAGTTCCTTTACATTTCCACATACATTTTAGAATAATCTTATAAATATCTACAAAAAATCTTCCTGAATTTGATAGGAATTGCTTTAAGCCTGTATATCAGTTTGGAGAGAATTGATATCTTTACCATGTTAAGACTTCCAATCCATAAACATGGTATGTTTCCCAATTTATTTAGATCTTCTTTAATTTCTTTCATCAGTGTTATATAATTTTTAGCATAAAAGTCCTGTACATGTTTTGTTAGAGTTACACTAATGTATTTCAGTTGTTGAGCAGTTGTAGATGGTATTGCATTTTAAATTTTGGTGTCCACATGTTCATTGCTAGAATATAG